GTGTGTGTGTGTGTGTGTGGTGGGGGGGGGGGGGGTAAGTTTTTGGGTTTCCGGGATTTGTTCTTCTCGGTGCATTAGCTCCTCTCAATTGGTGTTGTTATACCCTGGGGCTTTTTTATCGGGAGTGCTGGCGGAACCCACCGCGGTGTCCTTCATTCGCTTTATCATACGCCCTGGAAATGTGCGCATATGATACAAGTATCATACGACAAGTGGCCGGCGGTGCCTCATAGGCCCGATAAAAGTATGACTGGCCCTTGTTCCCTACCAGGTCCTAATACAAGAAAACATAGCCGGTTCTCGGTTGAGCTTTATGGGGAAAGACACCATGGCATCCTTCCGCTGTTTCTAGTAATGAAAATAGAGCCAATTAAAGGCTGTGTTGTAACATACCTGGTAGAAAAGTGTGCGGGTGGTGATCGCCTCCCTGGCCTCCGGTATTTGCAGTGTTCGGATAAGTCTGGGACTCGCGGTGCTTCCACACTTGACAATCGGAATCTGCAGAATTGGGAAAAGTCCGCTGCACTTTCGGAATAATATGTGGTCACTAAGTGAAAGTTTTTGTATGGTGGAAGCTGCTGGGCTTTTTTGGTATTTGGCCCTGGAGATAGACGTTCTGAGAGGCCTTGGAATATAATATAGAGGTCGCTAGGGCTTAACTGGTAAGGCGTTGTTGGGTGGATCATTCATCGTGGTGCCCGTAAGATGAATAAGGTTGGGGTCTTCCGAAGCGCGAAGGGGGGTTGTGTCGTTTGTTGATACGTCGCGGGTATGATATCATATAACAAGATGGGAGAAACAATCGGAGGATATCGGAGTAGGGGTTGGTCGGGATGCTTTCTTTGTATTATATCATTATACATGATGCAGCACTGTGGATCAGAACCTATCATAAGACCTTAGCTATTTTAATGGAAAGTCCGTGGGCTCCGTGGGCCACTGTAGGAACCTGCGGGCTTTGAGAAACCAAGGCCCGTGCGGGACGGGCCCATGGCAAGCACTGCGTACGACCTATCGAGAAATACTAGTATTTTTGAGCTCCTTGAGTTCTCTTTGTTCTGACTACTTGTGTAGCCGATGTGTCATACTTGGGTTTACGTGTTGGTGGTGGGTATATTCTCGGACACTAAATTTATGATGATACTCTATCGATGAGACAACCTACTTACCGGTGCATGGCCTGTGATGGAAAGGACTGGTATCTCCAGTTTATCCCCTCGAACCCTGTTTTTGCATCCTTGGCGCCCATCTGTAGGCGTAAATCACCAGCGTACCAGGTCCCTCCAGACCTAAGTGGTTCCGGATTCGGGGGTTTTTTTTTTTACTTCTTTTTCTTCATCGGGTCATTTGGCGGATATCGTTTCCAGACTTCTATGATACCATTAGGTTGCGTTTTTTTTTCTTTTCATCTTTTCTTTCTCACTCATTGTATTAGTCCCAATTTAAAAGATTTCCTAACCCCCAAATGGTTTAGCTAGATCGCTCTACGGACCAGATGGGTACTTTTTGATTTTTCGAGTGAACTTTTTTCATGGGTGGTTGTGGGCACAAGGAGGGGTGAGGTGATCGCACGAGTGACTTCTTGTGACGGTTGAGTATATTATTATTATTTTACAAATTGAGAGTTAGGATGTGGATAAGGTAAAAAAAAAAAAGATGACGGTTGAATGGGTGATTTTTAATGTTTATTATTAAATAGGGGAGATAGATGGGTAGGATAGATTCACCTCGTCCAAGAGAAAAATATCAAGGCAGCGATCCCCCACTGGCTTTCTCCCTCCTCCTTCTGCCCTTGCAGACATTACCTCATCCCCCCCTCCCCTCACAGCGCTCCAGTCTAATCTCTCGGCCTTCCCGCGCTTCCTGCTGTCTCAATGTTGCAACGTTTCGGTTCCAACTGCTGTCTCAGCGCCGCAACCTCCATATCGACCGCATGCTCCTTCCTGCGCATCCCTCTGATATCCTCCCAGTCCTTGCTCCTAAGCGACTGCTCATGGCTCCCGTAGTACCCCTTAGCTCTACGTATGTAGAACTTCGACGTTAGATCGCCTGCCTTCATGAAAATATTGTGTTGGAGGGCGACCTTTTCATCTAGCAGCTTGCGGGTGGCCTCTGAAGCATCTGACATTTTGGGAGTTTCGTTGGGGCGAGGAGCAGGTAGTTGATTGTAGGATTTTTTTGGATCAGTTTGGTGTGATGTATTATTGGAGAGCAGAGTTGGATGGAATAGAGTGGGTGAGCGGTGATGCTGTGGGGGGTTTCGGGGATGGAGGGATGGCCAATCCTTAAATATGCGTTTCGGTGGGTGGAAAGTTGGTCCATTGAATGGATTTTAAAGAATCCTTTGAAATTGAAAATTTGGAATATTCTCTCGGGTGTGGTGTTCTGCGCTCTGGGTGGTAGACATTCTGATACAATGAACTTATGCTTTCAAATGTTGGTCGAGGAGTGCTTTGTTCAGTCGCACCATGTTATCCCGGACCCTCGCTCTCCCAGATTTTTCGCTTTCCCAGGGGGAGCTTTATGTGGATTGTAAATTTTTTTATTTTTACACCGGATCCTAATCCTTTGTCCCAGATAACTCACCGCCCCCGAACGGATTCTTAGGATTTTGACCACCCAGGACGGCTGGATACAGCTGCACTTTGTCGGAGCTTGGAAAATGTGAATGGTTCATAGGTGGAGTGTTTCACCGGGAGTCACAAGATATCCCTTTCTGGGTACAGTGGATCCAGTTTTCACTGGCTGAACGTTGAAGAGGGGATAGCGGGGGATAGAAATTGAACCTTTGGGTTTTAGAGCTACAGCCCGCGTGATTATCACCGGCGAAAACCCTTCGAGGAGAGAGATTAAAGAGGGAAAAAAGTCTCCGAATGAATAGGGATTCTGGAATTGGATTTCTCTAACTGAAGACACGGGAGTGAAGCAGGGAACAAGATGGCACTATACGAGCCAGGACAAACGGCTTTTGTAAGTCGAGGGAACTGCGCCCGGGTTAATGGAGCTTTGGATACTTACCGGGTACCGTTTGTGATCTTCTGTTGTATGGTAAAATATGACTCGCCCTGCGTTGGCTTGAACCCATACGAGAGAAGATTCCGGTTCCCAGGGTACCAGAATTATCCAGTCTGATCCGATGGGCACTACTAGATTTTCACATGCATTTTTTTTTCGCGGGGGATGATAGGAGGGGGAAGCTCACAGGTTTCCTCTCAAGGGTATCTCATATTATACCTTTTTGCTTTTTCCGATTTCTTAGTTTGGCTTACAGGTTTGCCAAGCAACGCCTTGATTTCTTTACCCATGGCGTCGATTTTATCTGGGGATTTTTTTGCTAACACCAAGGAGGGTAC